GGTAGTGGAGCCAAGAAAGCCTTTTTGTTGGTATTCATTTTTGTTGTTTCAAGCCACTGTGTTAGTCTTGTTCCCTCTGGTGGAACACAGATTTGGGTTACCTAAAATTCAGATGAGCTGGGGTTGTACAGAACAAATGCACCTGGTTCCTGCTAAATCAGAATTCCAAGCCTATGTGCACAAAAGCATCCCACTAAACTTAAATTATTTCTCTTACTGTGAGTTATAGGAACAAAAAAACTTCTTACATACAGAAAAGTCAGTAACACCGAAAAACCATGTGAGACCCTACCATAATATTTACAACATAGGCCAGTAAAGTCAGCTGAAGTCATAGAACAAAACAGCAAAAAATAGCAATGATGCTTGGGTGTTCTGGGTTTTTTACATAGCTGGGAGACTGGAGCAGATAACTGAGAGTGCTTCTCCCACACTAAAGGTGGCAGGTGCAGTGTTCTGATGTGAAGTAAAGATGTCACCTGCTGGGCTCAGTGAACGTTCAAAACTAAAAAGACAGGAGAAATCCTGGCTGCAGCCCCTTTATCCATCGATACCACTGAAGATAAATCTGTGAAAATGGATGCAGCTGTACATAAGATGTCATTGCAGGTTTAGATGCCAAGCTCTTACTCACATACCACGGAAGGTGATTAATTTCTCCATTGCACCAGGGACGTAACAGAACACAACTGCTTACCCCATGTCCCGGGGACAGAAGACAGCATGCTGCAAGGACTTGGGGCGTGCTGCAGTCACCCTCAGTGTCTAGAAACCTATCAGGCACAGCACTGAACCACACAACTAAGCGGCACCGTTGTCCATTCAAAAAGGTTGCCTTCTTCTGGAGTAATGATTTATCAAAAAAGTATCAGTCTCTTACCCTGTTTTCATAAACATTGTCATTTTGCTTGTTTTAATTTACAGTAAGCTATGTCAGCATACTTACTTTCATAACCCTAAAAGGTATCACAAGACGCATACATTATTATCGGCTTATAAAGTCCATAAGCCTGGAGCTTTTTTAGTGTGTTAGAACAGCACTTGTAACAATGAGGCTAAAACACTTATCAATAGCTTAAGACTCATAATAATAAATACCCGAGGTGGGTGGAAGAAGATCTGTCATCCTGAGAAGATAAGCTAGTAACAACAACAAAGAAGCAGAAAATACAGAGACAACAGTATTGGTTTCTTACACAATGATCCTGTTTAATCTTCATGTATGCTTCCATTGTTATGATGATGCCTGTACAGAAATGCTGGTAGCAGACCAATGAACTGGAAAAGCTGTCTCACTTCCCTCTGCAAGAAATGTGCTATAGTAACTACGTGCTATATAGTCACCTTATTAAAATTATATTAAAAGTCAAGCATCCTTTCTCTCAGCTTAGCATTTTTCATAAAATTGCAACAGCTTGAACATCAATACACAAGACAAAAACCAGTGCTGCTGTCATGCAGGTGATACAGGGGCTCATTAAAGTGACTCCATACCTGAAGCAGCTTTGTATTTTATATTAGTGTGTCGTGCCTGAATAATGTGTAAATTGCTGCAATTTAAATCACGGCGCTTAAAGAAATGATCGGACAGTAATACAAGGGACAGAAAATGTCACTATGTGATTTATCGGCCATCTGGTGCAGTGCAAGTAGCACTCCTTCGGGGAAGTTACAGTCTTCTGATTAGTTACCACAGCAACAGGTCTGCTGAGCACACTTAAAAAGTTGTGTGTGTGTGTCAGCAACCTTTTTTCTCTTCCCATACACAACTTACACCGGGGGCTGTGAGCAGTGGCATGTCCTTCCTAGGCTACGGATGTTTTTGCTGCAGCTTTTTCCATTATTCTGCTTTTCAGGAGACTTAAAACTTGGGCAGTGTTTTTTTTTTTTTGTTTTGTTTTTTTTTAATATGATTTTAAGGAATCCTGACTCCAAAAAAACCCCACCATGATAAAATCATTTTCTTTATTCATGGAAGTGGTAGATAGCTGCAGGTAAGAAGGAACCTCTGGTAACAGAAATATTTCAAACTAAAATATAACGAAAAAGTCATTTTGGCTGATGGTTTTCCAAAAAGACAGCGAGAATATATTTTTTAAATTGTCCAAAACTGAGTATCTCTATCATAAAAGAGCCCACATTTGCATGAATGGCCTGGTCCACAATGTACCACTGGAAAACAGGAGTTAATAGGAGATGGGAAAAGTAACAAAGCTCAAACTGCATTGTGCATTTCATGCTGGTTGCATGTACATATTTTAATACAGAAATGTCAACAACGAATTACCCAGGGGTTTTTAAATTTCCTTAGGTTGGCTGTCAGCCAAGAAAAACCGCCTGGGACAGACTGCCGTTCCCCTGCCTGTTTTCCCTGCTACTCCCCCCAGCGCGAGGGCCCCCGGTGTTTTTTCTGCCCGGGCAGTGGTGTGACAGCGCGAGCCCGGCCGGTGCCGCTCTCCTCTGCCCAGGCACGGCAGCGGCCCGCGCAAGGAGCAAGGCGTGGAGGTTCGAAGCCAGCCGAGGTCTGGCAGAGCCTACGAATTGGTGTCCCAGGGCCCACCTCACCCTCCCGCCGCCGCACAGCCCCACCGAAAGGGTCCCCCGGGGGGCTCAGGTTAGCACCAACGGGATCCAGGAGCAAACGAGTAGGGACGTTGGCCATTTCTGCTCCATGCACTCTCCCATTGCAGTTCGGGCTCCTTTGTCAGCGAGGAGATGAGCACCACCCGTCCGGGAGCTTTGCTGCAGACTTGGGTTTCGCAGAGGCAGAGCGCTGAATTATTTCAGAGGGCAGCTCTGCATCACGATGTCCACGTGGACATGTTAAACCCAGGTTTTAACTCAATTTCTCATAGCGACAATAGCAACCAGGACATAACAAGCACATACAGGCTGAAACACCGGCTGCAAACATAAATTCTTACCTTCTGTTGAAAGGAAGGACCATTGCCAGTGTTGCCTCTCTAAGTATTGTGGTCAGCGTTGCCACGAGTAAAATCTAGCAGGTCATAATTTTCTTTAAGCTACGAATAGTCTGTCAGCTATAGCCCTACAGATTCCATACCCAGAGGTGGACACAGAAACATTTTGCATTGTACTTATGGAATGAAAACCTGTTCTCTGAAGACATATCCCCGCAGATTAGAGACCAGAGCTAAACAGGGCTAGTTACTCCCAGAGACAGCAGGCCATGCACGCAAAAGAAACGGGTATTACCTAGTTCACTATTTGGGGAAAGAGGCAGAAGAGGAAACATCAGCCGCATTAAGGAAATTTCAGTGGCAATAAAGTGGAAGAGGACAGGATTGATTTAATGCACTCAGTCTGCCTCCCAGATGAGGAATCAATTATCCCGCGTCATTTAATCTCCTTAAACAGGTCGTGACACAAACTAGAAATTAGAAGCATTGAATCTAATATGAGGAGCAGCTCTTAATGGTAATTAGCATCAGCCTCAGATTTTTTAGAGGGAAACATAACTGGGATTTGGGGACCTCTGAAGAGTTGACTTCACTAGATTTCCACAGTCAGATCTTAGTATTTTAAAAGTGGGCTTGTTCATTGTTTACCTAATGGAGATGCATTACCTACTGCAGATGCAATTATAAGCAAAAAAAAAAAGAAAAAAACCCAAAAAACCATACTACCCCTGTTGACAAACTCCAGCCCTCCATCAGGAACACAGCCGTCGGAAACCTTGCACAAAATTACTTACCCTGACATGTTGCAAGCTATCCTCTATCTTCACGGCAAATTTCTCAGCTAAACCAAGCTCTCCTACTTTTTTTACATCATTCACGAGAACAGAAATACCACATGGCTCCTGACTGGGTGCGCAACACCTCAATAAACCAGCCTGCTTTTGGGACAGAAGCTCCTAGAAGGAAGAAGGGTGATGCAGGAGGGGGCTCCATCTGAAGCCCCTCCTGGCTGGGACAGTCAATAATGAAGGTCCTTGTCCCTGTATATACAGATATATAGCTTCCTACAGAGCTTTTCAATTACATTTCTTGTGTGAAACTGGTGACGTAATCAAGCACAAGCATGAAAACAGAAGCAGGATAGCTAAAGAAAGATGCTTATTTTGTCAGAGTTGTTTTCCCTATGTACCAGGAAAAAAACTAGGGCACAGAACACAAGCATTACGACTAACTTTTGAGAGGCTAAAATTATCCAGGATTATACAAACACAAGCAGTTTTTCTTTATTTTCTGTTACTAAAAAATCAGTGTTGAAGGCAAATGTTTTTGGAGTGGTGGGGTTTGGGGGGTTTTTTGTGAGGTTTTTTTGCAAAAGTTCTATGAGGTCAATGTATTTTTAAGCAGCAAACTCAACGTACCTATTCTGAGTATTTTTTAACGGACCTTGGAAGGGTGAATTTAACCTTTGTCATACAAGTGAAAATCCACATAGAAACTGGCTGAAGCAGTAACTTCTAATCAAAGCCAGATCAGGAACCAGCCTTAACTATTTGCGGTACCTACATCAGTGGCCGCCAGTGTTCCTTCTTCGAAGTAAGCAGATGCAAAAAGGTCTAGGAAACAAAATCTTTTGCATTTTGCACATTGCTCTGGGTACTTCCACTCTCTCTCACCACATTTCCCCTAGCTTTGCTCCTTTTCTCAGAATGCCCCAGAGCAATAAGCCGATACTAACCTGCTGTCTGAAACTGGGATTTCTGGATCAAGAGATAGACCACCTTGTATCTAACAGCAGAAACTATGGGGTGTGGGGTCTATGTATGACAACTGTAATTTAAAGGCTGACTTGTAGCACCTCTTTTTACACTGAAGTACTCAGGAAACATGCTATGGATCATTTTCATTTGAAATGTCATGAAGAAGAAACTACAGTAGCAGTTGGTTCAATATGTAATCAACACTGCAATTTTATGACTGTCACATCTAGTATTCATCAAAACACCTTTATACTGCGGGTGTTGCTGGCAGCACAAGGACATAAGTTACTGAAAAGCAAAGATATAAGACCCGATAAAGTGATTCCTTCATTTTCATCACTGTTTGCCTTGTCAGTTGATCGCAAAGAAGAAAGCTTTAAAAAACATTTCAGACCATAAGCACCATTCCTAAAGCTTTGCCAAAAGCTTTCTTGTGTCACTGCATTTCATATCAAGAATTTTCAAATAGAATAAGCTCTGAAGGCTGCTTCTTACCTACATAAGGCAGCAAATCTCACTGTAATTGCTAGGTAGTGGCTGTGAATGACAGGCTGCAGTTCTAAAAATCATCAATACATATAACCACAAAACAAGAAACCTGTGAAGAAGACTATAAGCTGCAGGAGGAAAGTGCTCTGTTTTGAGCCCTCTCTATTTTTCAGGTGCTGTGTTTTACAGACATGCAATGAGGGTTTGATTCTTCAGGGGAAATACACCTTGCACTTGACAGAAAACCAGCCAAAATGTTGCCAAGTGCCACAGAAGTTCCAATATTCCTTTTCCCCTCCAGGGACAGGCAGCTGCCTGTCTCTCCTCTTCTGCAGGCAGCTAGCTGGCTCCTGCTGGCACTGCAGCAGTATGCCCTGTGGATTAACAAGCAGATGCAATTGAGGTTAAGATAGGCAGTGCTATTTCTACCTAAGAAATCCCTTCATCTTCACAGGAGGACTTTATCAATAGCAAACAGTAAAGCTGAAGTGGCTTCTCAAATCTGCTGCTGTTTCTGTACTTTTTAAATTATTTGGTTTTAGTTCAATTTCAGAAGTTTAACACAGCTACCAAGAAAAGCACTAAGAACAAAACCCATCCACTCATCTAGCACAAACCTACACACAATACCAAATAAAGTATCTTGGTCCTGCAGCTTTAATATTCTGCTGGCATTAACAAATTAACTACGTGTTCACTGAAAGTTATTTTTATGAAATGCTTTAAAACCTCAAGCAGAAGATAATGCATATGTACATTTCACAGCATTCACTGACTCCGAACTCCTAACTAATACAAAGAAAACAACAGTTGGCCCTCACTGAAGGCACATACTGGCACCCCGTTATTTAAGCTTAACTTTTTATATATTTGGTCAGTAATCGGGGCCAGGTTTTATTTCATGCTTTTATGCTTTCATTCTCCAGCCCGATGTTTGGAGAACATGCTAAACACTGCAAACAATCATTTAAAACCCTGACAGACACAATGCAAGTCTCAGTTCTGTTCCTTCCCACAGCACACACACAGAGTATTCCCCCTTTGGCTTGTTGGGTACCTGCCAGTTCCCACATGCTAGGGTCAATTATGGGTCAATTCTGTACCTTATTAACCCACCTCTGCCTAGGCCATGGTAATTGCCCAGGCTTTCCATGTAGTCAGTGGAGAAAGACATGAAACTATTTGACAAGGCACCTATCCCAATACTACGTGAACAATATACATGTGATGAGTTGCCCCCAGGTGCCTAACACTCTGGTGACCACAGAGGATATCAAGATACCCAGCACAGAATACCCAAGCAACCTTGGGAAAGCTGAAGTCAGGCAAGCTTAACTTTCATAAGCAATGAGAAAAAAAATATCAGTATGCAAAAATCAAGAGTAGCTAAATAGGCAACGATTATTCATTATTTCCTCACAAGACAATAAGCCTAAAACTAAAGGGAGGTATTTTACTGCACTATTCTATTGTGAAACTCACTGCCACAGAACACTAGGGAAGCAAAAGTATAAAGGGGTTCAAGAAAACTAGATGGCATCATTGAGGAAAAAAACGCCTAAAGGTTACTGAAAACAAAACATGTGGCTACAATTCCATATCACATAGGCCATTGGCCACAAAATGCTAGATGTTGGAAGAAAAAAAAAAAAAAAAAAACCACAAAACTCCCCACTACTGCATACCTTCAGTAATACCCTTTTTCCCAAAGCAGTCACTGCTGACAGCCATCTACAGTGTCCATATGCAGATGAACTCTGTCTTCTAATACTTCCTTGCAACACTAGGTGGCAGGGAAAACATCTAGCTCATGTACAGCTTTGAAACCTTGAATGTAGTCTCAGTAATCCTCTAAATTAAGGATTAGTGCAATGCAGCAATCTTGAGTTCATACAACTGGATTTGCTTTGTGTCCCTACGTAGCCTTGAACAACATTTATCAAGTAAAACACTGTGTTCAGACACCCATATATTAGCAGTACCAGAACACAGGCTAACTCCTTCCCTGAGATACCTTGCCCTGTCATTTAGAAAAAAAACCCCAGGAATAATTGCAGTGTTTCTTCCTTTCCAGAAACAGTTAAAACAGAATTGAAATCCTCATGGTCTCCACCTCTGTAAAGACACAGCACTGTAACATTTACCTCAGGCCTCTGTTTCTCTAAAAAGTCACATCATTTGTGGGCTACTTGTGCAAATACTGCAAAGTGGCAAAGATGAAACAAGTTCTGCAACTCAGGCAGTTGGAAAGCAGGCAAACCAATGCAAATTGTTCTTCAGACCATACTAATTCTCCTGCTGGTATGCTCTTCCCCTTCACCAAATGGGCAAAGCCTCAGACTTGTAAGATTTTGCTCAAGGTACCCCTCAAAATTTGAGGAGAAAGGTATGATCTTTCTTCATCAATGCAAGCCCCAACTTTCAGAAGAGATGTGTGTGTATGTGCAAAGGACACCACCTCTGCACTGCAGCATAACTTGCCATTTTCCAAATTACAGACATTTCCTAGAATGTTGCTGACATTAAAAGTGAAAGGCTGACATTTAACTCCTACTATGTTCACATAAATTAAAGAAAAATGCAGACTATTATTGGCATGGTTGGTAACACTCTCCCTTTAGAAGAGTAAAATCAGCACAGGATAGTCACTCACTCAGTTTTTTATCAGTTTCTCAGCAGCATAATAGAGATGATACTTTCTAGTACATCTTTTAAAAATCTGCAGGAAAAAAAATGCAAGGTGACTGCTTTTTAAGCAGTGACACACAAGAAGGAATGTCAAAGAGTCACTGAAAGTGATCTTAACACACAAATCACAAAGGCACTGAACCGGATTTTGATTTTCACAATGTTTGATAACCAGAAAGTTTGTTTCATTTCTGAAAAATAAGTTAATACAAAATTTTAAAAACATTGATGTGCAAGTCTTTGCTGCATAAAAGTACATTTTCATATTTTAAAATCATTTAAAACATTTGTACATAACGAACAGAAATTTTTATATAAACCAAGTGTTTCTTTACCAACAGCAGCTGTCAACTCCAAAACACAGAATTAAGATGACAAGAGAACCAGACAGCCTAAGTCACTGCCATTTGTGCCAAAAAAATTATGCCACCCTTTTCTACAGCTCATCGTGCTTGTACGTAAATTCCCTTGCAGATATAAACCCATCGCTGTCTTCATCTTCTTTATCAAATATGTCTTCAACCAAAGCATCATGCTGAGTGTCATTTACCACTGCTCCATGCTTTTCAAATTCTTTCTTCAAGTAAATTTTCACCTATTGGACAAAAGGTGAGAGTTAATGTTTCTAGACTTATGAAAGAATTGATTACTGTAGCATAAGAGGGGGCCACTATCTTAAAGATAGTGGTATTAGACAGGAGATACTTTCCTTCCTCTGTCCCTGCCAGAATACTACTTGTCTGATTCTTCAGCCCTGCTCAGTGATGAAAGACTAGTAGTAATATAAGCAACAGTAAAACTAGCAAATCAGTCGCCATACCTTTATGGTATCTGACTGAAAAATGAGCCAGGAAAACCTGTTATCTGATGTCTACACAGTAAAGTATAAATAGCTGCGCAGACGTTACTAGCTACCAATTGGTCAGGCCCCCAAACAGCTTTTTCACATCCTAGCACTTTGAGAAACCAGCAGATGTAAACAGCCATCCCAAATATATACATAAATCTGTCTACAATCTCAGTGTTTGCTGCTCTAAGGGGAACTATTAATAAGGATTTATTTCTAGACATCAAGATTTTGAAGGACAAAGCTACGACAAAGTAGCTTCTAAACAGACTATTGGAACAGGTATTTACACTAAGCTAGTTAATGGTGAGCAGCGTTTTGAACAACATCAGATTATTTTTACTGAGTGTAAGGTTTAACTATTGAGAGCCCAATTGCTCCAAGTTGCAGAGTCTTCTTCAAGAATATCAATACCAACATACCCACCTGTTAAACAGATACCACTTGTACAACAGAACTGTAACAGTGGACTGTCGACAGCAAGGTAAGTGGTCCACGATTCAGGTCTCATTTATTCATTTCACATTCAGGTATTTGTTAGGGTCACTGCTTACATTTCTAATACACAGGCGATGGACACACTGACACTGTCTGTACTGATACACAGTACAAAAGATTAGTCTTTTGCGTCTAGCAAACTGTACCAGCACCAAATCAAAAAGGACTCAGTGGTTTATCCTAACTTCTCCTGGATAGTCTTTTGCTTTTCCAATGTGCAACAGTTAAAAATAAAAGGCAAACAGAAGGTGAATAATGCTGAATACATGTCCTTCAGACAGCAAATGCTATGAAACAGGGCTGCCCTATAGCAGATGAATTCTAATTCCAGTTTTAGTAAATCAGCAACTAACTCCAAAAAACTCTGAAGTCTGGTTTTATTTCCAAGATGTTTTACTTCATCCAAGTCTCCCATAAGCGTGGGGCACGCATGGATCACATGCTAATGCCTCAGCTTACCAAGGCCTTATCAAGTTTGTGAACCCCCAGTCCAGCAGATCCACTGGGATCCAAAGCTCAGCGTGGTGCAGCACAGATGTGCATTCTTGGCTTAGTTTTACTGAGAAAAAATCTATTGTTAAGGTGTGAAAGTATGTGGGCTGAAGCCATGCAAGAAAGGCAAAATGCAGACAGAGGCTTAATTGCTGAGCCAGGAGTAGTAGTTCAAGAGCATTCAGCAGGGAATATACCACCATGAAAAGGCATAAAAGAAAGGCAAAAAAAAAGCAGAGAATTGGAAGGCAGCAACATTGAAAGTCACCTTCAGGGAAGAACATAGACTAACCCTTCCCCACATGACTAATGACCACCTGGCCTTAGGTGTCTTACCCTTAATAATGAGCGTATCAGTTCAGTAGTTGAGCTAACAACCCGTTAGTCCTCCTTACCCATACTGTACATCACCCAATAAATAAGTGCCTTAAGCACTTTTAAATAGTGTGTATTCTGCTTGCAGAGTTGTTCTGTGCACAGTAGTAACTAAAAATCAAACTTGTGTTTAGATACTTCCCTAACAGGCTCAAGCTTATCTGTCCCTTTTTGCTATCCCATCCTGTTAGGTTTGCTCACAAGAAGGGTAACTCACTCACCTCTTGCTTGGACAGTTTCCAGTCATCATTAAGATCCATCTCCTGGAATGACTCATGAGACCTTGGTCCATTCCTAATTTCTAGAAGGTCAATGTTGAAAATGAGCGTGCTCTCAGGTGGAATTTTTCCTGCCCAAAATGATAAACAGAGAAAAGTTAAGAACAACTATTCAGTTAAGAACACAATATTCAGTGCCCTGCAAAAGCTGTATGCATCAGAGCAATGTTCTGGTCATCCTACTACTTTCAAAACATCCTGCAATTTGAACTAACAAGGATAAGTATAGTGATAACTGTAACTATTTCAGATTGCATCCTGGACCCTGAGCAGCCCTTACAGCACATACGCAACTTTAGATGCAAGTAGCTTTGTTGGAGACTAGTATGTGTTGATGTGAGCTCCTATTCAGCAGTCACCATGACAGGTTTATCAATGTTCCTGAATTTTTTTTTCCCATGGCCAGAGCCAGACAACGTGGAAAACAGTGAAAGAGACTGTACAGCCAGCCAGGTGGCACCTACCGCAACATACAGCCAAGACTGATGGACAGGGTAGCAAGATGGGAATGTTCAGTCTTCCTGATGCACCATAACCCTGCCAGTCTCCCAATTCCTCTCCACTGCCAACTGACACCTTGTACCTGCTATTCTGCCAGCATATTCTGTTGCTAACAGCAACATTATTATGTTCAAATACTTCAAAGTTTTCCTGAAGCAAATAATTTCTTACAGCAGCAGTTACAGGCGTTTACTTCTTCAACCTTCTTGTGCTAAACAGAGGTGAGGCTTGCAAGTCTGAAGAACTACTGTAGTCCTTCATATATTAATCAAGGCAATTAGGCCTGTGATGACTATGTGAGCACCCACAGCAATTTAGTATCTTTTTGCAAAAAAAAAAGTTGTGCCCTGCAGAGAGTCAACTAACTGACCACCACAAGTTTCATATTTTCTACACGATTACTTCTAATACTCTCTCTTGAACACCAAACCAAGGCTTCCAGAAAAATATGTTTTAAAAGGATACTTTCAAGAAAGGAGGGTATGGAGTATGCTGTATGTGTGGAATAATATAAAGTACTACTTAGTGTACGTTCAGCCCTAGGTGCCAGAAGACACAAGCATGCAAACATTCCCCATTCCTAAACAGTCTCAGATTAATGGGAGAGGACAGTAGCAGGAAGGATTACATGTTCCAAGATATCTATCATTTCTGCTTGAAAACCTTGCATTACCTTAGGTTATTTGTGGTAACTGCTGTCATGACAAAGTATTCCTAATAATTGCTGCAAAAAAAGTTAACTATAACAAACCCCATAAAGCAGAAAAAGTAACCTTCCTGCATCATTCAAGCTGTCACTCATTTGACTGCAAATTCCAGACTTGGCCCTTCCATTGAAACAGGCATCTGGAAATGTTTGAAAGGAAAAACCCAAACACCATCAGTAGTAGACAGTTTGAGAAGACACTACAAACAATGCATTTATCTGTCTGTACAATACATTTTCAGAAGATGCCAACACAGCTGCCCATGTACCTGCATATCTTACTGTGGATAACAGGGACCACTGCCCAAACTGAAGATAGCTAAGAAAGGGAAAGAATTAACTGTCCCTATACAGAGAAATAAATGGTGACTTTTCACTATATCAGCTAAGAACTAGAACTGGTTGGACAGCAGTACAGGGAGTTTCTTAGGGTTTTAAAACAAATCTGCAAGCAAGAACGAGGCTTGCACATGCACATTCATGAAGTATTAACACAAACACAGATGCAACAGCCAAAAAGCCATCTGTTACCTAAGCAACCACTTCCAGCTTAACTGTAAAAAGGGGAAAAAAAAAAAAAAAAAAGGAAAAACTGCAGGGCACAGTTGAGGACAGCATCAACAGAAAAGGCACTCAGAACAGACAGCACAGCAGCTACCATAAATTCTTGCTTTTTTCCTGCATTAACCACATAACCACTTAATGGCTATTTCTGCAGAAAACAACTTTGTGAGAAAGAGCACCTGACTCCATCAATTTTTCTTACTTAACAAAATCAACCTGGAAAGCTTGCTAACCACGTAGGTCAAGAATAACAGTAAAATATAGAGATTAAAAACAATTAAAGTAAGGGAAGGACTTCAGGTGTTTTACCTTTCCCTTCTTTTCCATAAGCAAGGGCTGGTGGAATAGTTAGCTTCCGCTTCTCTCCCACACACATGTCCTTCAAACCTTTATCCCAGCCTTTGATAGCTTCCCTTATGCCAAGAGTAAACCACATAGGTTGACCATTATTATGCTTGTGACTGGAAAAGAATGGAATAAAACAGTCTTTAGACAGCAAGTTTCATAAAAGGCATGTGGAGCAGATGGAATATGCTCACAGCATAGATAGATAAACACACCACTATTCAGCACCTTGGCATTTCTTAAATGAAAGACCTAGACTTTTAAAATCTTTAAATCTTATGCCTTGCATGACAAGGTTCATCAACGAGTGGAAAGAAATAAACATCTACATGGTGCGTTTATGACAACACCAAGCAACCTGGATCGCCACCTTCCCTTCCCTGATCACCCATTTCCATTTGAAACTGATCAGGCTACAATGGCATTTCTGCTTAAAAAATCTACATTCAAGGCCATGCATATTCTTTGATAAATTGCAAATCAAAACCCAGCTTGGTCGTTATAATAATGTACCTTATAACATGCTTAGAATTCAGCCACATCTCTTTCAGAAAAGGCATTAGGAAAACAAACAAACAAAACAACTACACAATAGATAGTCTAGAAAAACAAACAAATGCATGCAAAACATTCAAGTTTAAAATAGGGAGACAAGCCCTTTTCCCAATTTAACCAGGTGGTACACCAGGACTACTTTCACTCTACTGACAGACACAGAATTCTAAAAGCTCTGTTTACTAGTCATGCAGGAAAGGTGCTTCACAAGAAGACAGAGCACTTACAGAAGTTAGTCTGCAGCAAAAACTTAGAGCTTCACTACAATTCCTTTTAGATAGGCAGGTGAACTACAAGAGAAAATTAGTGAGATTTTAGTTTAAAGAGCATAAACATGCAAAACACTTTTTTTTTTTTTTAGCATGTTCCACAAAATTAGACCTCAGGCAGTAGCCTACAGATGCTTGAGCATTTTGCTGTCTCCCACCATTAACACTTCGTTGATGTTTTACAGGAAACTCAACATTAACAAGTCGTTGCAGACTCTTAGCAGACACCCTCGAATTTCTGGCTCTTCCTCCTACTTGCATTACCGTGGCTCTGGTATGTTGATTTGTCTGGTCGGGGGCAGGTGAAGAATGTACCATTTCAGTAATAAAAAGCTGTCATTGTGCTGCCAGTAGTGAAAGGATATATATAACTTTTTTTTAAAAAAAAAAAAAAAAAACCAAACAACCTAGAGGCAGACTTCTCCCCTAGAAGTTTGCTTTAGAAACCAGACAGAAATCCGTGCATAGCATAAGGCTTATTAAACCTTTGAGATCATATACCAAAACCTATGTCTAAATTGCAGTCGAGGATGCGTAACATCCCCATCTTTTAACAAATGCTAAACAGCTCTACTTTCTACAAACTAACCAGAAAACAAAAGCTAAATAAGATTTATTTTATAGCCTCGATCTGGCAGAGGGAAAGGAGATCAGCTTTACTGTCGATGCCCATTTTAAACAGCGTTGTGAGTCTGCGCTTCGTAAACTGTCGAAATATAAAGGCAAACCAAACTTTCTGAAAATATGTGGCATTGGGAAGGATCCCACTGGCAAGTTTATGTAGCGTTATTTAACCTATTTTAATTCAGTAACAACTAAAGTCTAGGGTATGCTACAAACATGCACGCATTGCTTTTGTTTCCGTGCACACAGGTAAGCGCAAGTTTGGGGAGGGAGTAGTTGTAAAAATAAAATAAACCGCCCGCCCTCAACAAAACACTCTTTACAGAGCCACTTCGCAGAGGGATTGCGGGCCACTGAGGGATCCGGATTCAGTAAAGCACTGACAAAAGAGATCACCTACGTTAAAATACATATAAAGATACAGAGTTCCCCGCGCAAGCTCACGCACCAGCCCCCTCCCGGGCGAGGCACTTACGTGGAGTGAAACATGGAGCCATCCCTCTCCAGGTAGCCCTCGTAGTGGACCAGCATCATGTCCCCCCACTTCGTCCTCCTGTGGCAGAGGAACGGCTTCTGCAGCACCTCCACCTTCACGTCAGCCGCGGGGATCAGCGCCGCGGCCGCGCAGCCCAGCGCCGCGCCCAGCAGGGCGGCCCGCAGCGCCGCCGCCATCGCCTCTCCACAGCCCAGGGCCCCGCGGCGCCCACCTCACCTCCGCCGGGCCACCATCCCGGGCCGGGGCCGGGGCCGGGGCCGGGGCCGGGGCCGGTGCGCGACCGCCCTCGCCCGCCCAACAGACGTGGCAACGGCCCCCTCAGCCGCCCCTTTACAACCGCCCGGGGACGCGCCCTTTGATTGGCTCGCCTCAGAGCGAGCCCGGAAGAATCAGCCGCCCATTGGAGCACGCCCCGGTCTGTCCCTCAGTTTGCCCAATCGGCAGCAGAATCGCGTGGGAGGGGCGCTGAGCGAAGGGGTGGGGCGGGCCTCGGCGCTCCAGGAAGCGAACGTTAGCGAGCCGGGGAACCCCGCGGAGCCCGTGCCGGCCGCCGATTGGGCGGCGCCCTTACCGACGGCGCGTTTCGATTGGCTTGCGGAAGGCCACCTGCTCTGGGCGTTCTACGTCAGGCCCCGCCCTCCGCGTCTTTCTCGCGCTCTCTCTCTCTCTCGCTTGCTCTTCGGTCACGTGGGTTGCGATTCCTAGAACGGCTTGCGCTTCCGTAGCGCTGCCGAGCCGTTCTGTGGGGGCGCGGCGGCGGCGTGCTCTGCGCTAGGAGCGTGCCGGGCGGGGGCCGGGCCGGGCCGGGCGGCGCCCCGCCATGGCCCAGGGTGCCGGCGGCGCGGCGGGGCGCGGGGGGAGGCGGCGGCGGCGGCGGCGGAGGCGGCGGCGGTGGAGGGACGCGGCGCGGCGTGACGTGACGTGACTCCGCCGGGGGGGGCGGCGGCCGCGCTGCATGGGGGCGGGGACCGGCCGCTATGGAGGGGGTGCTGTACAAGTGGACCAACTACCTGAGTGGTGAGTTGCTGCCAGTCCTCAGCCTCTGCGCTTCCCTAGCGGGACGGGTGCCGTCACCTTCTTTATATATATATTTCTATACAAGTGTGTATATATATATATATGTGTGTGTGTGTGTGTATTTGCTGAGCCTGGACCAGCGCTGACCCTGCCGTGCAGGGGACCAGCCCCAGCTCACCCCGGTTTTCTAGCCACACCGCCGCTGTGGTCACCATCCAGCGCTCGCCTGGGGCCTCCCTTGCCCTCCCTGGGGTTCTGGGTCGGGGTTATTTTGGATGGGTTAGGTCATACTTGACAGCGAACTTCCCCGTTCTGTACGCCTCTGTGAAACTTTTAGCGCTTTTATTGAGTTGCTTCGGAGAGTGGGGGGAAGCCCAGACCTGGGAGGAAAAGGTGGCGATAGTAAAACCACACTTGGGGGTTTTGGATGAAAATGCATGCAAAAAAAAAAAAAAAAAAAAGAAAGAAAACAACTGTCCTGCTAGCGCTAGGCCTAGATTTTAATTTTTGTTGGTGTTCCTATGCCATGGAAGGCTTGGCTTTCGTAGCAGACTGGCAGCAGCTGTGTGTGGCCAGGGCTTGCTCAGCGGAGGTTAGAGGTGGTGGGGTCAGAAACGCGGCAGAGGGTCCGGTGCCACCCGTGTTCCTGTGGGGTGCCCACCGCCGGAGTTGTCGGGGTCAGCGGTGGCTTGTAATTTGGGGTGCAGGGATCGGGTCTTGCCTGGTGCAAACCTCTCTGTGGTTTGTTGAAACAGTTTGGAAACTTGATGGTCAGAGAAAAATAACCACGACCTTGACATTGCCAGGTGCAAGTTTTGTTCGGGGGTGTAGGCAGGAGGGCTGCCTCCTTTCTGCTTGAATTTTTTTGAGAGGGGCTGAAACAGCTGCACCTCTCTGGTTAGTTGGGAAAGTGTAGGAAATCAAAATTAAACAAAGAAAAAATTGAAGCGCAAGCAAGTGGTGAAGTTATGTGGCAGGGAGATTTGGGGGGGGGGGGGAGTAGTGGAAGAGGCTGGATTTACTGTTGTGCTGGAAGATTGCTGCAACTTTTCCCCTTTAGGCAATAGGTGTTCTTAGGGGGGAAACAAAAATTGTCAGGTATGGCATGGATTTCTTCTATTATTTTTTATTAGTTTGTGATTCCTCTTGAATTATGGAGTGTGTGGCAGTAGAAGCAGCCACGCTTGGCTTTTCCATTTGGATTGCAGCATTCAGGCAGTGTTATTAGTCCATTCCCCATAATAAAAACGTCCGTGGTTTGATCAATCTAAAGTTTTATGTGTTTGTTTTTCTTTGCATTGTTTAGATGCTGGGTGTATTTGGAATCCTTGTGCTGGCTTTCGTGCTGTGAGACCTGGGGAATGTGTGTCTGTGGGAACCAGTGCGTGTGTAGATGAGTGACTGACATTTGGCATTGTAGCATTTGTGCCCAAGTGTGCATGTGGTAGGATCAGCTGGACTTGTCTTCTGTTTTGATAGTAAGATGAACAATAAGAACCAGAAATATTCCAGTTCCATCAAAATTAATATTGGGGTTTTTTTGCTAGCCACACTGATACGCACTTTCAACTAAATGACCGTTCATGAAGAAGGATGACACTTTGCAAACCTCAGTCTAGGTGAATGCAGACTGAAGGACTCTCTTTTCCTTGGATGTGTGAGATTTGCCCCAGCTGAAAACTAGAGGAGTTTTTGTTCTCAACAGAGAGAAAACCTGTGATGGAGGATTGAAGCTTCCTTCCGATTTCTTTGCTGAAACTTGACTCTGCTAGTGAGTGTGGTGGTCAAGGTCACTCCACGCCTTTTCTTAGGTTGTCGAAGGCCTGTTGTGTGTTTGAAAACAGTAAATTTGCTGTTCTGCAGCCTAACTATGCTTACATGTGTTTTCTCTTCGCATAAAATTAAGACTTCCTGTCCTGAAGCCATTAAGTTATAAATTTATGCGATGATGCAAAAAAATAAATCCTGCTGGAATGTGGCATTTATCGTAGCAGCAGTACAGAGCCAGGGAGTGAGGGACAGGAAAGCCTCTTTTGGGGATTAAGGCAAGCAAGAGGGTTCAACAGGTCATCCAGAACAGTATTTCTGTCAGTATTCTGCCACCAGTATGCTTTTCCTCTTGTTCAAGGTTAACTACTCTGGTGCTGCATAATGTAAATGATGTATGCAAAAGGTAGGGAAAATGTGTGTCATCTCTGTATGCCGGTGTATGCCTGTGTTACTAATATGATGCTGATGCAAACATCCACAGCAGGTATCGTATGCCCTTTCCTCCTCATAATGAGAAACACACCTTTGTTTCACAGTCAGAGAGGAGATAAGACATTCACCAAAGAACAAGCCTGAAACTGTAGAAAAGGAGAATTTATATCCCTTCGGGCTGTGAGAGAGAAGCTAATGGAGTTTGTTGGTAATTGAGTGTTTTCTGGGACTTTTGGTTCCCTAATGTCTCCTTACATCGCTATCATGCGAAGTCAAGACCATAGCAACCTGTTTTCCCCCGCCCTTGGGCAGGGAGCTAGATCTGTGTTGCAAATTACATAGTTATTGACAGCAAGAACATTTCGGAAGTAGGAAACAAGTTTGGCTTTCTGCAAGCAAAGGTCAGAAAGCACACCATGATTGCCAGCAACTGAAAGACAGATTAGCTTGCTTTACTGCTCAAACAAGTTATCTTGTTTTATAATAAATGCACTTGTTGGCATTATATAGATTAGGAGAAACTAAATTAGTGTTTATTCTTTGAGATAGGGTTTTTCCTCTGGTATTAGTCCTGCTTTGACATTGTGGTTTCGATATGCAGGAGTTCCAGTGCTGCCTCTGAAATCTCTGAGTTTAGAGAACTGAGATTTTAGAGTTTTTTCTCCCCCCTAATGCAATGGCCACCAGATAGTGATTTTTGAATGTGATAGTTTTGTTTAAATTCAAGTGAAGTGTGGCAACTTTTGATCCGATGCTCATGTACACAGATCTAAACTATGAAAATCCACTTGGTATCTTGTGTTTGCAATAAGCATGTCCTGAGATTGCTCTTGTCTATGCTTCCCCCACTAAATTGGTTAAAACCTGAAGGGAACAGGGAACTTTGCAAGCAGAATTATCACTCGTATAAAGTGTGATAGCACTTTTTCATTTGGGCAAATATGTGATGCCTCTACAAACTTCAAATTATTAATCCTCAAAGCCCAGAACTGGGTGTCTTAAATCATGCAGGTGCGCAAGTTGACCTCAGCTGAGCCTACAGTTGAAGTGTGTGATTTGATTTTTAAAAAATTCCTAGATTTCATCCTTTGCCAAACTCTCTGTCTAATGTTAGCATTGCTTGGTAGAGATTGTGGAGGCTAGGGATGGGTTTATAGCATGGGTAAAGGGACTATATAACTCTTATTTCAGTACTGCTCATTGTAGTAAGTAGTTGGGGTGATGAAAGCATCACCCTATACATCCTCTATAGCTCTTTGGTCCATTGTGCCACTACCTGTGGCTGAGTGTGAAGCATTCTGGTGTGGACAGAATCAAAGTCAGATCCTGGCTGCAGCGTGGTAGCAGGGCTGATGCCAAACCTGGGGATGCTGCTTGCAGGAGAGAAAAAGGAGAGAGAGCGCATGTGAACTGCACGAGAGCTGCTCCTTGCTCTTTGGAAACTGTCTCCCACGGGACTCTCCAGCTGAACTCAAGCTGCCATTCATGCTCTTTGTTAAGCATACCTTCTGGTTATGAAATTTCCTTAGTCTTTGGAGACTGCCTTGTAAAAAGAAACTGAGATTTTGATTTCTCATCAGGTTTCTGGAATGGAGTAAGCTATTGCTTACCCACAGAAGGACAGAGCGCAGGGTTGAGGAATACCTTCCTTCAGTGGTGTGTGTGAGAGCTTGGCACTTTTAGTTGATTTTTCTGCTGAAATTCGATTCAGTTCAGATCTTCAGCATAAGGTATGCCTTATCTGGGATCACTGGCCACAGGCAGGATTGCTGTTGACTCTGGAAAAAGTGGTATGTGTCAGCTCTTGGCTTGGGGATCAAAGGCAGCTTCATCATTAGAAAGAAAAATGGCAACTGCTTCCCCTGACTTGCCTGGTATTTATTATATGCTCCATGAAATGTCTTTGATCGCTTTTCCTGGTATTTAAATATTCACTTCCTTAATTGTGCTGAATAACTCTAACCCTAACTAATTCATCTTCCTCAAGGCATGACACTCACATAAATGCCATTACTAGTGATGCTCCATCATACCACATACCATAGGTCACTCTCCCCATCTTCCTCTATGTATCATCCACACTCATTTTACTGTGCTCTGAATTATTTTCAATTTATCCCGAGATACCAAGAGCCAACACCAAGCAGTAAATTTCAGGCTTCACATAAAGCTTGAAATTACTCTTGTCTCTAATGATTCAGAATTCCTTAAAAAACTTTGGGGCAGAGCTCAAGAAAATGTGAAAGAGCACTAGTTTTTATAGCTGGATTCCAGATGCACATGCAACTGCTTGGAGTGAGTTTTTGTTTGGGGAGTTTAAATTAAGAAATCTGACTTTTTAGGATGGGAGGCATGTACACTTCCAGTTGACATTGAGCTCTGGAAATAAGGTCCTCTGTTTCCAGAGATGGAGGAAGTAATTGAAAACTTAACAACTTAGGTAAACACTTGGTTCTAAAAAGCTTTTGTTTATAATTTTTTCACTTCTCTTTAAGCCTCTGGATATAGTCCAAGTTCTGATTGTTTAAAATGAGAAGTCTGGCTTTTGTGGAGATGGACCTAGGCAGCTGAGGTTTCCGTTGCCTTCAGGGCAATGGTCTGCCCAGTGTTACTGACCGTAGGTACTCTCAGAGACCAGGCACTGATTTAGGTGGGTGACTGAGTCTCACCCAGTCCTGGCTTCTCACCCAGGATGCTTCAGGGACTAGTTACTTAATTCTCTTCGGATTTTGCATAATTACATTTGTGTGGTTTGACCTTTTTTCTCATCTCTCTCTTCCCTTCCCCCTGTTTTTCTT